GTTTTCCAATGTATATACCTTTATTACAAACTTTAAACAAATTTCTTAATTCAAGCAAAAGAAAACATTAACTAATTTGATTTAATATTTAAATCCTTCACTTAGGAAACACAAGAAAAAATTTAATTAAAAAACAAAACGATATTAAAACAAGAGCACACAAAATACAAAGCAAATCTCCCACAAATCTATTCTATTATTCTTAACCTATTTTTATGCATTTCTCTGTTCACCATTCTCTTCTACTTTTTCAAATATATTTGCTTTTGTTTTTGCTACTGCTGCTAGGAAAGTTTTAAACTTTTGCTAGTTAAAATTCATTAAAGCTTAACCGCAGCTTTTTACCGCTCATTTCACTGGCGATTTGACTTTTGTGTGTATGTGTATGTGTGTGTGCATTTTTGCTAGTGAGCACAGCCCCTGCGTTTCCGGGACTCGCCCTCTACATAGTTATATGTGTGTGAGTCCATTGGCCATTTTACTTTTGTCCAACTAACTATCAACAATCCCAGTAAAATCACACATAACCACAGCTCAGTTACAACAATAAAATTTACAAAAACAAATAGGCACACATGCGCATCCCAGGCAACCAGCGGTTCATGTTAGCTACTCTGAGCTATCGTCTGCGTCACAAATTAGCGCCTTAAGAACGTTTCATTAATTCGTGCGATTTTTTTTTTTCGAAAATTAAAACTTTATTGTTAAAAAATGATTTTAATCGTTTGTAAACGGTTGCTTAATCAACTCCCAATACTTTTGCAAATTCTTCTTGCGTCTGGCATGCGTCTGCGTCGATCAATGTCTCCAATTCTTCGTCTTGACAAATTTTTGACTGTCCGTCGTCTAAGTCGAAATTGCCACTTTTAAACCGTGAATACCACTTTTGGCACGTTCAATCAGCTATAGCACGGTCCACATAAAAATCCAGTAAAATACGATGGCTTTCGGCAGCTCTTTTCTTCATGTTAAAGTAATGAAGAAGAACTCCCCTCAAAAACACTTTATCTGGTACAAATTTCGACATTTTCTAATGAATAAAACAAATTGCTTTTCAAGCTAAAACAAATGGCATCTACTGAAAACGACGCGAAATGGTACTGTCATTTGAAATGAATATCGCCACAGATAAACACGACGCGAAATAATACTAGTAGAACCCTCTCTTAGAAAACCGCACGCATTAATTCATACACCCAAAACCTTTAGAGGAGGAATAATTAAATTGTTTGAGTTTCACAAAGTCGAAAAAAGTTATGATTAGTTTCTTTTGATACTCGTTTGGACTCTCATCACTGCCTTCATGCGGTATCGGATGAGTTTTGTCTTCAAGCCGTTCTTGTAGCTCCCTATTAGTTTTAGAGGTGAATATAGGTGAGGGATTTCTGTCTACAAAGACAATTGCCCAGTAATAACGATATGCAATACAGGCTCGTCGCATTCGATTGGATACGGAGCTTTATATTTCTTTATAATAGAACCTAAACGTATTCTTCTCCCAATATTTATATTACTCTTATTTGCTTTCACAAAGCTTTCTTACAGAGTTGTCAGAAGTTTTACACTGCATTCGAAGTCTTTGAAGCGCTCTTTTTATATCTTTCACGTACATGGAGGGCTACATCAGCATTAGTCCTGTGTATGTAAGCACCCGATGAAGAAGAGATAGAACCATCAAACTTTTTACCGATAGCATAAGAATGACGAGTTGAGTTGATTTAGCCATGTCCGTCTGTCAGTGAGCTTGTTCGCCAACTATTCTCTCAGTTTCTGTGGTATTTCAAGCAAACTTGGTACACAGATGCACTGGACTGGGACACCTAAAAGTTCATTTGCTAAAACCGAAAAATCATCGACCTCAGAAAACTTCAACCTGTCCAACCAAGATTTTTGATATATTTGATCATGAAAGGTGTAAAGACTTCCAAAGACAGTTCATTCTTTTTGCTTACTCTTTAGGTCGATTGGGTTGTATGTCAATAAAAGTGAGTGAGTGTGTTGCTTCTAAGCTACAAAACGCTGACCTAGCTTGTGAATAAAGCAAAAAGAAGAGCTCTTGGTTGTTGTACTTTAAAAAGTGTTCCATTTCAAATCCTATTTTAGACCTGTCCTGCATTGTAACTCGTCGCAAATGCTTAAGCGACAATGTCCCAGTGTGTATGTGTTCGGGCTGTTAGTGTCGCCAAACTTTGCTCATATATTATTCTCAAGTTGGCAACACTATTTAGTAGCAACACGACACGCAACACAATAACTCGGTTTTATGCCTGTGTGTAAGTATGTGTGTGTGTGTATATGTGTGGCTGGGTGGCTGGGTGGCTGGATGTTGTGGGCGAGCGGCGTACGGATGGAAGACTGAGTATGGTCAACGGATATCCGTTACACCGCTGCATACTTTAAACAAAGTTGCATGAGTGTCCTGGCGCCAACGAAAGTTAAGTCAAATACCAAAGTCACCTTTCGTGGGAAACTGCTCTACAAAAGTGTATCCCAAAAAAAAAAAGATAAACTTGTGCGTATACAAAGCTTATGAGTGTGTGAGTTCACTTGTTTGCCCCTGCTGGTAGCCGGCCGGGAAATTGGTGGTATGAGAGTTTTAAAATATGGACATTTTTAACTTTTTGTGGTTGCTTTCGCACTAAGTAGCATAGACCTCGTGGGTCTCTTAAGCCGTCGTAATTCATTAGTTGCCCAGTTTATCGTGATGGCCTGTACAGGAGACCGTTCGTGGGTTGCTTTGTCTGCACCAATGTTTGAATTCTGCTCACGTTAAAGTGTTCGAAGAAACATTTAATGCTACTTAGGGTCTTTTAGTAATTGATTTGATAATCATATTTATTTATTAAGGGAACTCGGGTGTCTTGTGTAGCAGGATATTGATTTTCTGGGGCATAATCTTCAAAAAAAAAAGAAGGAGTAAATAAAGATTTTTTTAAACGAACCGTTAGTTCATTGGTGTAGGCTCTGCTTACCCCATTACTGTCGAATTCAAAATAAGGCGCAGGTCGTTTCATTTTTTGCCGGCCCGCGCCAATTGCATACACCAAGTGAAATCAAACCTTTTTCCATGTGACTCTTCGAATAGAGCGAAGGTTTTCCTATTACTGCAATCTTCGCTACAACTATTGCACAGAACGTTGAATATAAATTTAAATAGTTGTTGGCAAAACAGCTTTCTAGCTCAAAATTTATTTAAGAGCGGACACCTTATGATTTATTACACCCTAATGACCGTTCAGAAGCCACCACCGACAGAAGCAGTCAGCTACTGACATCCTTAAAAGAGGTTAGTAATATTATCTTGTAAGCTCCGTCGGCGGCCGAAATAAAATAAAAATTAGCATTGCGTTCTGTTAGGGTTCGAGTCCCAGTTCAACCAACATCCCTCCGAGTATATTTTTGATTTATGTTCCTCCATTTATTGGAAAATCATTATGACGCAAACCACAAATCGGAGGAGGAGCTCGGCTGATTCAACGGTAACAAAATGCCAATGAAGCGAGTATATAACGAGTGATCCATTGGACGTACTTTTTTCAATAGCCTTTTTTTGATAGATCACTTTATTACGAAAATTCACGTTCTGTAGGATTGTGTTTCTTGCTTCGCTCAACTTATGGTCAACAGAGTCATCCTATTGAGCGGACCATTTGCAACACCATCACTCATCTTGAGAACCAGTATTTATTATTAGATTATATTCGTCCGAATGAACCCCGTCTAGCACATAGCGAAGGAAATGTAGTGACCGTAGCTGAGAGTGTACACAAAGACCGTGGAGATTCGGTTAAGCGCCGTTCGCAGCAATTCGGACTGATATATGGAACGACTTGGCGCATTTTACGTCGAGATTTTAAATTAAAAACGTACAAAATACAGCTTATGCAAGAACTGAAGAGTCATCGCTTTGCTATATGGGTTATTGAAAAGTTTCAAGAGGATCCAAAGTTTTCGAGCACAATTTTGTTCAGCGATGAAGCCCACTTCTGTCTCCATGGGTATGTAAACAAACAAAATGACCGTATTTAGGAGGAAGAACAATCTGAAAAGATTCAAGAACTGTCATTTCATGCAGAAGAAGAAAAAAATGGCTTGGTGTGGTTTGTGGGTGGATCCATCGGTACACATATCTTCAAAAAAGATACCGGTGAGAATTTATTTAGAGAACACTTCTGTGAAAAGATAATTTTACGTTTTGGGCCAGTCGATTAGCCACCGAGATCGTGTGATATGACATAGTTAGACTTTTTTCCGTAAGTTTTAAAGTCTATGCGGATAATCCCGCTTCGATTGAGGCATTGGAACAAAACAACACGCGTGTCATTTGCCAGAATGTTCATTCGAATTATAACAAACATTGCCCATTAAATTTGAATTTTTAGTGTTTTTTCTTTTAAGTAGGGAACCTCGAAGTGGACCACCTTTTGTATATATACGCATTTGGCTTTTCTCCTGTTTCTTGTTGACAGGAAAGCGGCAATTAGGATAATTATATGCGCCAGATCAATGTCTAAAAATATAACAACGTACAGGTTGGAAAAGTACGGCAAGCATCAATTGGCTCCACATGGCCCGAATGTAGAAAGTAACAGAAAAGTTAGCTGTTTTGCGATGTGCTCTTCAAAAATACTTAAGATTCAAGAGCACTAAGAATCTGTGAGGTAGTGTTGAATGCAGAAGAGAACGTTGTATTCTTGTAGTTGTATTGGTAGACCATTGACTCTTAAAATAGCATTCTTTAAAAGTAAATCATTGATTAAATCAAGTGAACTATTTGCTAACTTATAGTTGGGATATACAAAGTGGCGCAATGGCTAAATGCGACAACTTGTTTTCAGCTCATTGAGGTGTCCTTTTCAACCAACCAAACATTTCCATCCGTTCCGCACTCAAACAAAATGAACTTATCTTACTTTTTAAATAACTACACAACACGACGATCACCCTAAAGTTACCGAAATTGTTGTCTCGTTGTTATGATAGTTGAAAGTTGGGAATTCGGAGAAGACTTAGTACTACCCAGAATTCATTTATTAATTCCTTTTATTACCTTGTTAGTATTAGAAAACTTAAATTAAACATTTTGTTTTTAAACAGTTTGATCCTTATTCCCTATAAGCTCAAATAATGAGCCAAATGCGTCAGTTTCCCGTCCTCAGATATCCCACATATGTATGTACTTATAGTTCATCACATTTCGCCTTGATCATATTCAGAGTAACAGTGCCCACGTTCGCCGATGCATTATGTAACAGCTCGAAGATATGCATATTCGCGCTACCATTACGCGTATCCGTGAATAAGGACTTCACCTCGGCTTGATATGCATCATAGCGCTCACTATTCTCCCAATCCCCTTTGAACTCCACATACAAGCGATGGACATTAAATAAACGCTGCGAAGCCGGGTCATACTCCAATGGCGCTTCATTCGCTTGCGACGGCCATGGCAACAGTTTCCGCCAGGTCTCTTGCAAATGTTCGAGAAACTCGAAGTTGCTGAAAATAAATGTGACAAAGAGATCCAGACCTTTTCGATTCAATTTCTCTAAAATAACCGACAAATCCTCGTGTGCATACTGTGAATTTTTAAATTGCTCATAATCGGCAGAGAGGTCTTTTTCGAGATAATTATACAGGCGATTGCGCTTCGCATAGAAATCTTCAATGGCGAGTATTGCATCGATTTCGTTTAACACTTTGCTCAGTTTGCTTACATGCAGTGCATGTAATTCCTCTTTACTAACGTTTGTCGGGAGCTCATCCGCAGCCACCGCCTCCTCTTCTTCCGTTGATGACGTCGAAGCCGCAATATGCTTTTCCTCAATAACTTCCTGCAACAACTTACGTACGGTTAGCAAATAATCGTCGATTATCTCTGCACCCGCAGCTTTTACATTTGCATATAGAGTACGCGCGAAACGTTCGAGGTCGATGTGAGCCATGGGTGTTGCAGCTGTTGATGTTGCACGTACTGCTTCCGCACGCAAAGGTGCCAATTTGACGTCGGCCCAGTAGTTTGTCGCCGTTGCCGCTGCTGCTAGTGTTTTTGTACTGTTATTCAATCGTTTTGCAGACGTCCTCGTCGTCGTCGTTTGGTTCGACAAGCCGTCGTTGTACCAAAATTGAACACATAAATTATACCAACGAAGGTTGCGTAGTTCTGAGGCGCTCTCTTCTTGCAGTTGTAACAATTGACGCTTGAGTTTGGCAACAAAATTTAAATTGCGCACTGTGTAATAGTCGTTGGCGACGAGCGAGTGTTCATTGGATTTTAGATCTAACAATTGCTTGAGATAAACGGTTTTCGGTATGAGTTGCGTGACACTGGTGGCCGTCTCAATTTTCACGGCGTGCGCGGCATAGTCTTTGTTGGTGCGTAGTTCCCGCAGCAGTTCATTCAGATGAACGCCAGCGGCTGTATCTACCAAAGTGTTGAGCTCATCAATGAAATGAGTTTGGAATTTGCGGTCTCTGATATTGGCGTGAGATACGAGAATGGTGTGCTCTGTTGGCTTCGTGACTGCGGAATGCTGTTTAAATTGGAATGGGTGTTTATTAGAAAACTATTTCATGGAAAGTCTACCGAACTTACCACAAAATTTTGCGTCCCGCCTGAGATAATGGTGTATATGAGAAGAAATTGCCACATTTTTCTAGTTTCGAGTCTTTGTACTTGTCTTAACTTCAGTGCTTTAGTTTTTCAGAATTTCTGTTAAGGGATTTGTGCAATCTAATCAATGAATATGTTCTTGGCTTTATTTCATAAACTGTTCATTTTACGTAGTTTTAATTATTTATTATTATTTTTTTAAACTCGTTTTAAGGTTGGAGGATGCAAAGCAACATTGAGTGTTTGTGCAGAACGCTTCTGTATTTCCTTCCAACACCACCAACTTAGATTTTCGGCATTAGGATTTTGCAGTTTATTTTATTATACACTGTATTTTTTGGAAGTGGAATTCAAAATTTGTACACAATAACAGTAAAAACTTGTAAGCATTGCGTTATTTTGATTTTTTTCCATCCACGCACATTTTCTTTATTTAATAGAAATTATAATCCTTAAACATTTAATTTATTTCATTAATTTTATTTACAAGTAATTTTTTCCGTTCTAACCTCATACGACTACCATTTAAACTGTACTGTTTAATGTGTTTACATTTCAATACTAAAATGTTGTTATCATCACTTATGTATATGGCAGAGCTGCTGCCAGTCTACGTTGTTTTGGTGCTTCTAATCAAAAGTTACAACGCTCATTGTATGATTTTTGTTTTAAATTAACTTCTCAGCGTAGGGGTTAAGCTCCCGTTATCAGAAGAAATAGCATTTCACACACACATTCGCTCTAGTATATTAATTATTACGTATGCATGTGCCTTATACATATATGCGTATCAAATACATAATATAGAATTTGTTTTGATTTGCAAAACAAACTTTTTTTTGTATATTTTTGTATACAAAAGAGGCACTGGCCTTCGTGGCATTGATCTACATAAATAAATCTTGAATTGAAGTGAAGGCTTACAGTCTTTTTCTGTTATTTTTCTTCATTTCATTTGTTGAGTCTATAATTTTCTAAACCTTATGTGACCAACAAATATTATGTACTTAAAACTATATGATTTATGAATCGAAAAGTTCAAGTGTAGACACAAAACGACTTTTCGAGAATTCAAAATCAATATCAAGGTTCCTCGAAATTCTATTAAACTCGGAGAAAGCTCCAGGAATAGGATCCCAATTGTAATAATTAGCATTAATTATATACAGTAGAAATACGATTCTTTCACGCACTCACTAAATGAGTAAAATTGAAAACAGGTGCAACAATAAAGTTCGGTGCGTTGTCAAAATGGGCAAGAAGAACTTTACGTTGTTAACCATTTTAAACAAATTAAAAACAGGATTTTCTGTCAATCATATAAGTTAAATTGATGGTAGTTGGAAAATCAGCGAATCTACGCCCACTCATATTCCTGTTGCTTGGATGACATTGACTTCATATGAGGAGTGGTTTCACTCCAAAGATGTGTCACATTTGTTCCAAAGATGTGAGAAATTTTTTACATATCTAAAATAAATACCTTTAACAGTTAAAATAGTTCTTTCGTAGCTGGAATCTTCCAGAAACAAACACTTTTACCTATAGATGATGCTCCCGGTTATCCCAACGAAGACGAGTTAAAGAGTTCCGATAATTATAGTATATCGATAATGTACTTAACTTCAAATTGTACAGCACTAATACTGCCAATAGATCAAAATGCATAAAGCTTATGAAACTGAACTAAAAAAAGAGGGTATTAACTCATATTAATGGAAAAATATGAATGAGTCTTTAAGATATATTAATCTGAACCACACAAAATTTTTAAGGGCATATAAAAATTTATCGATTTCTTTTTTTTAATCCAAATGAATTGTATTTGTCTTGATTTAAATTAAAGAATTAAATGAGCTTATTTTTTTAGTTCTTAAAATCCTTTTCAATTTGTATGAAAAAAAAAGTAACTCTGCACTTGCTAAATCCTCTAAACTTACACCGAGGCCGTTTCTCATCATGTGCAATAATCGAGTTTTTACTGTATATATATTAGGTGTAGTAAAAAGAACTCCATTATTTTTGCATAAAATTGAATGATTTAACTTTTTCTTTTCGTATTCAACCTTATTCAAATAGTTCTAAACGGTTTTTTTGCAATCTTCAGCTCTCGGGCAATCGAAACAGTGCTTGCATGATCGTCGAACAATGTCCCTGATTTTACCGACATTTTCGACAATTAGCGGCCGCGGTAGTCAAGTGGTTAGCATTGCGTACTGCCATTCGGAAGGCTGGGGTTCACATCATGGTGTCGTACTAACATCCATAAAGTTATAACAATTAATTTAAATAAAAAATTAAGCTAAATTTTCGGCAGGAAATGTCAACCTCTCCGAGTGTATATCTGACATGAAATAAAACTCATAATATGATAAAAACAATCAGCCGTTCGGAGGCGGCTTGGTATAGGTCCCAGGACGCAAAACCACTAATTGGAGAGGGAATTCGGCCAAAAATCGCTAAAAGAAAAAAAGAAGTAATAGACTAAGTAAGCTATATATTAATTTTATTAAGTAAACTACGAGGCCTTGTTGTTTGTATGAATTGAATATTTGTTATACAACAAAGAAACTCTATGTTCTCCAAGTTTTCTACAGTAAAAACTTTAGTCAGGTAGCTAAATATGTTAAAAGTTTCGAAAAATGCGTTCTTTCTTAAACATTGCACAAAAACTATTTTGGAACCACTTACAATACGTAAATTGGATATACAAAGAAGTTGAATGTATTGATGCCACATGAGTTAACAAGAAAAAACGTCATGAACCGAGTTTCCATTTGCGAATTGTAACAAAATCGACCCATTTTTCATAACTGGTGATAAAAAGTGGATCACTTACAAAAACGTCAAAAGGAAACAGTTGGTTAAAGTGCAGTAAGCTGGCAGGAACGGTCGCCAAGGCAAGATTGATGACCAGGAAGGTTTTTTTGTTTCGTGAGGTTGACAAGGACTCATCGACTATAAACTGCTCGCCTATACTATATTCGAGTCATACTATGCATTTTAGATTCCCTCTTATTCAGTCTGCGCTTAAAACCTATTTCCCACTCAAATCTTCATCACCTGACTTGTAGTATTTGGTTGCAACCTGGCGAGAAATGCATTCGGAAAGGGTTAACATTCCTCGGCGATTGGTCGTTATCAAATAAGAGAAAATGTTGAATTAGAGCTGCTTTCTATGTAGCCACTCTCAAGAACAGCGTACAGTGCTCCCTAAGTACCGTCTTCCTTTGACCAATATTGGATTTATTTCCACATCTTGCACAAGCCTGTCTTCAACTCCATGGAATTCGTCGAGGATGCATTCTCAGAACTACCCCCCTACTATATTCCCTAAAAAGAAGTGCCATCGAATGAAAACTAAGTTGGAGTACCGACCGAATTCGTACGAAACGATTGCTACAAGATTTTCGATATTCTTCTTGTCAATCAACCTTCGTAAGCAGTCGTTGTTGTCTTTGTTGCAACCTCAACGTTAAAGCAGTAAAATGCTACATTGTAAAAGGGTAATTCTACTCATACGTGTACTTGAATCTTACGCCCTCATTGCCAAACCACCAAATTCAATTCAAGGTAACTGCAGAACTTTGCAAATTTAAAACTATATTTTTTTCCCCAACTGATTTCATTGCTTAGCTTTTTTCCTACTATATTTTCGTGGTAGTAATCGTATACATTGTGGAAAATTGTGCTAATTAATTGCAACCAAAGTTGCATAAAAGTTTTCTTCATAATTTTTTGGTTATTATCTGCCTGCACAACTCGCACAACTTTTAGCTAAGCTAATACGCACACATACCATTTGGTTTAATTAGATGGCACAAACAATGGTCAAGTGAAAAAGTGCAAACGCACGTGCAACAGAATGAGCAGAGCGAACTGTTGTGCTAGGTAGTTATCTGAGAGAGTTAGCAGCGTGCGTGCTTCCTTGGTGCATATGTGGTTTTACGAAAAAAGTATTAGGGTGAAGATTTGGATGTGTAGAGCACCCAGTAAACTTGCATGATTTAACTGAATGCGAACTGTGGAATTTCTTAACTTGGGAACGTCGCATAATATTTTTGGAAATAAACTCTAATGAAGAATCATTGCATATACTTTTAGAATGAAAATAAATTTTGTATTTGAAAACCTAGAGAAAAAACTGTAATCTTATACTGAACGAAAGAACTTCAAAGCATGCCGTATATATGAAGGTAACATTTCTTCAGACCTACTGATTGCAGTGACTGTGTAACATCAGGAAATGGCGAACCAGATCCCCAATCGATTACGATGAAACAAATGAAGAAGTTCGACTTCCAATCTCCAGATTGAAATTTAACACGTCGGGGCCGATGGATTACCAGCCAAGCTATTCAAATACGATATAATAAATATGATAATTTAAGCTTAATTGACAAATATGTAAACATGCCTGATGGTTGCAACCTAAGTGTGATCTGTCCAAACCATAAAAAGTTCGATCCCACAGTTTGCACCAATAATCGTGGGATAAGCCTCCAAAATATGGTACATCAGGTCCTATCGCGCTTATTGTGTATAAGGCTAAAGCCCACTGTCAACGAACTGACTGGACTTTACAAGTGTGGCCTAAGACTTGATCAATCAACCATTGATCAGATATTTACCATATGCCAAATCTTGGAATTTACGCGAGAAAAGAGAATCGACACTCATCACCTCTTCGTCGATTTTAAAGCTGCTTTGGACAGGACGAAAAGGAGTTGCCTCGACGCCACTATATCGGAATTTGTTATCCCTGCAAAAATTGCACGGCTGCTTCACCAGAAGCTCTGGCGAATGACCTCAACGAGCCATTCGATACCCAACGAAGTTTCAGATAGGATGATTTCTTGAGGGGTTACATCTAGTTAGGATCATATTATAACATGTTTGAAGAGTGGTTAGCAATTTTTTATTTATATAATTAACAGTTTTTGAAGTTGCTGCAGAAGATCTTTAGGGAGCACTCCCAAAATGGTGGCTTCTAAAAAAAAAAAAAAAAAAAATTAAATGTTTCTTCATAAATTTGGTCTTGAATTGCGCATTAAAAAATATATAAACCGCAATGGGAAAGCTTCGTTTAAGTACTACAATATATTGTTCAGAGGCTCGTATGAAAATATGAGCCTAATTCGTTCAGCCGTTCTTGCCCAATCTTGGTCACCGACTTGAAAAACTTAGGTTAAAACGAGGCTTGCCGATTTCAAATGCTCTGATGCGTCGTTCAAGAGCTCAATAGAAAAGTGTAGTGTTTAGTACGCCGCTGATAATGGAATCATTTGCCTGTACAGCCGCGCGGTGACTGTTTCCCAGACTGGATGAGGAAGCGGAGGATTTGGGTCGCAAGGACACGACGATATATCTCCTTTCATCAAACAAATAGTCGACGCATTCGCGACTCTACTCCCACGTCAATGTTGACAGTCATAACTCTGAAGTCGTAGATAACTTTGTCTATCATAGAACCAATATGAACAATAATTTCAGCCTACTTTGTACTGAGTAAGCAATTGAAAAGTAAAATGCTCCCTCGACGAGCGAAGACCAAATTCAGAAGTTAGAAGTTTTTGAGAGAAAGGTTTTGCGTAAGATTTGTGGTTCCATACGAGTTGGGAGCGAATATCGCAGACAGACGAAGCAGTGCGCTTTATGATATATTCGCCGACATTGACATAGTTCGATGAATGAAGAAACAGCGGCTGCGCTGGCTAGATCGTGTGATCCGGATTGAAAATAATACTCTAGCTTTGAAAGTTTTCGATGCAGTACTCACTGGTGTAAGCAGAGGAAGAAGAAGACCTCCACTTTGTTTGAAAGACCATGTAGAGAAGGGCCTGGCTGCCCTTGGTATTAACATTTGGCGCTAATTAGCAAAAACATTGAATGAATGGGCCAAAAATATTAACTCGGATATAATCGGATAAGCGGTGTATACGCCAGTAAAGAAGAACTCTAGAACTCCTTCAAAGCTAGAACTCTAGTTGAAAGATATCAATTTGGGAGCAATAAATTCATAAAGATAATAAAATAAGTGAAAAATGTTGCAAATTTGTTTGAAAACTGGGTTTTGTTCATTGGGTTCTCAAAACTAGATAAATTGGCTAAATTTGTGTGTAGTCGAGCAAAGGTTTTGCACGACAGGTCGAGACGCATGAAAGTGCAAATTGGGGCAAATGCCTGTTAGTAGACTACATTAAAGAAGTTAAATTCGAAAGCATGACCTAAAAAAAAGGGAATACAAAAGAGCAAACCGCACAAAACAAATATTCGACCACAAACCTTCTCCGTTAAAGCCCAACGTATGAAAGCAGAAAGTTGCTGAATTGCAGAAAGTCAGGTTGAGCAGAGAGAAACTAAATATGAACATTCAAATGTTTATATAGAGCAAACATAGTAAATCAAAAAAAGAATGTGTGAATTTAAAATTGCATAGATATATGTGTATTTACAACAAGTTTCTTAGATTGGTGTAGTACATATAAAAGTTCACCACGTGTCCTCCTTACCCAGAAATCTTTAGACACATCTTTTTCTTAATACATATTTCAAGACGATTTTCGCAATGTTATTTAACAAAATAAACCAAAGTACAACATGCCAACAACTAGAACTAAGTAAATCAACAAAAAAAAAAAAGTAAAAATAATCTCAGTACAACATCTCTACGTCCAACAACGAAGTTTTCAACTGAAGTTCAATTCCTTTTCTGTTGTCCACCTTTTCTTACAGAGAGAAAGGTTCATTTTCGTTGCATTGACACGTGACATTGTGTTGCAAGTGTTTAGCTTCGATGACAACAACAGCAATGCTGCAACAAAGTTAAACGTCAACAGAATGTGAATGAAAGACGGGCAATATAGCCGGAATAAGAACAAGCACAGGCTTATTAAAATTTATTTGCTACTTTTGCAGTTTGCTTTTTGTGTATTAAATTGACTTTAGTATTCCGTGCACGCTCCCAATGTCTGCGGAAATATGTATCGTTGGCCAAGGTAAATTTTAAGCTAGGAGGAATTACTTTTCGTCATTAGAATTGGCGGGCAATGGGGACTAACGTGCGGAAGGCGAGAGTTCTAGTCCTGGAATGCTGTCACCCCTGGATTAGCACCCGTTCTGTTGGGGGCACACCACAAATCGGAGGAGGAGCTCGGTCGAAAGCCACTTCAGCGGCCACAGCAAATTATACAACAAATTATAAAAAATAATTAAAGCGAATAGTAAAATTAAGGTTCTGACTATATTGACATACACAGCCAAAGAGTGACCTTGATTTTCTGAAGCTATTTTCTAGCCAGGGCTCGAATGCAATGTCTTGTATATAAGAGCATCATTTTGTTGATGATTAGCTAGCCTTTTGCGTATAATCCTAAATAGAACTTCGCTGTAAGAAAGACACTTTAAAATTTTAAAGCATCGACTACAGACAGTTATTTAAAGTTAGATTTTATACAAAATTATCCTTCTTCTTAATTGGTCTTGCCACCGCTTGCGACATTTTCGACGAATCAACAATATTTCCCCTCGTTGTGAAGCGATGTTCACCGTCTGCCATAGGCAGGACGATTCCCAAAGCTGACTCATCGGTTATTGCCATCGTTTACGGTTCAGTGACATAAAGTAGGATGGAAATGATGAGAGGCTTGTGGGGTTTGGTGGTGTTTTGTTGAGAGAATTTATTTTTTGACTACTCAGTCCAAAGTAGCACCTTTTGCCGTTATTTAGGCAAGCAATTAATTTGGACTTCACCATGCTGGGGTAGTGAAAAGTCTCTTCCATTGCCAATGGGTATTAGGGTTCACCGGCCTTGAGTTTTTTCAATTTTACTGCCGCTCAGAAAGTCGAAAGAGTCTTCTCTCCATAGATTACGTATATTCTATACAGCTATTGACTTTTAAGCCCCTAAACCTATTTTTCTCATAGAAATAACAACTGCGGCACCCCAGCTTCTTAAGTTCTTAAAATTACTAATTTCTGCACAGAGTAGAAAGCGTATCTAAGCTGCAAAAAAATGCTGGTCCGAGCGGATGTTAGGTCTTTTCAAGCCTAATCCTCTATCCACATACCAGAATAGTGTTGATTATTGATTACGGTCAGATGAAAGGGGTGGCCAATACATAGATTTTAATGACCATTCAAAGAGGTGCGACAAAAGTGCAGTCACTTGATGACTTTCAAATTGTTTTTGTTAAAATTAAAAATATCAAATTCTTTGCAAATTTTCTTATTAGTCTTCCTTTCAGCTTTAAGAAAGATCGGCTAAAATGAAAAAGAAAAACGCAAGAGAACTGGAGGGTAGATCAAACGGAATTCCACCTTCAACGGAAACAGCAATTCGCCATATCCCAGACCGGTCAATTTTCCGTAGACGACGAGACGAGAGAAGGTCGACCAAACTCTTCCGCTGATGACGTCACTGTAGCTCTGGTGAAGTCCAAAATTTATGAGGGCCCACGATTGACACAAAAAACGACTGCTAATGAATTGGTCTTTAAGGCTATGATCGTATCGTGAATAATAAGTAATTATCTGGCATACATGAAAAAATCTGTTCGATGTGTACCACGAAT